ATTATCTATCGAAGTCAGGTATGAAAATTGAAATGTCTGGTTTCATTAGTTGTACAGCTTGTAATTCTGAGGGATGTGATTCAACTACCAGTAATGTTACGGTGTCTGGTAACTTTATTTTTTATTTTTCATATTTTATATAACATTTGATTTATTTTTTTTTTAATTAATGACAATGATCTAACGCAAAATTAAATTATTAAATAATAAATATTTGGAATCTTATGATTATACTTTGATTAATTTCCATTAATAATAATTATATTACAGATGGTGTCAAAGGATTTGGTATAATAGAACCTAAGGGACCAATTGTTGAAAGTGATGACATCGAAATCATTTGTGCTGCATCTATTTATAATTATACTAATAATAATTTATGGATGTATAATAACGGYACGGCTATATCTGACAATGGTAAGAATAAAATTTAACAAAATAATGTATTTATTCTAATTGACAAATTTTATTAACATATATATAAATATATATGTATTATCAAATTTCAGAGAGAATCAAAATTATTTATACGAACACTTCGTTCACTCATCGTGCAATATTGCAAATAAAAAATGTTCAACTTAATGATTCGATGACTTATCATTGTAATGTAGACACCAAATATAAATCATCCTTTTTTAAGTACAAAATGGTGGTTCACAGTAATTATCACAATAATAATAATAATAACAAAATATTAATAATTAATTGTAACGATTATTGATGTAACCAAATGTTTCATTTTCAGAACAAAAAGAACCTTCATTTACAAATATGAATTTAAATGATACTGATTTGGTCATCGATTTCGGTAAAGAAAATCACAAACTTATTATTTTGAAGTGCTATGTAGATGGTATGCCTAAACCACAAGTTACATGGTATAAGGTACAAAAACTATATTTATTTATTAAATATTATATATATATATGTATGTATGTATGTGTATATATAAAAATTTTGTATTGTTTTTAGGATAACGTGAGATTAAAAAACAGTGAACAATACGAATGTAAGAGAGATAATCAAGAACTTTACATAAATTTTTTTTTTAAATACGACAGTGGAAAATATTCTTGTAGAGCTGAAAATCGTGTAGGAAAAATAGAAGCTTATCAAAATATATTGATAATAGGTATGTTATTGACAATTAAAGTACAAAAATAATTGAATTTTCTAATCATTTTCTATATATATATATTTTTTTTTTTTATAGGAAAAGAATGGTATCATTCTACTAAAAAATTAATAATTTTAATCGTTGTACTGACAATCTTACTGATCGGCTTGATATTGTACCTTACAATTAAAGTTCGTCGTGAAAAGGTAAGAAAATTAAAAAAAAAACAAAAGAGAAATAAAAAGTAGTACAATGAATAATAAAAAAAAACAAATAACACGTTTATTCTGATTTTGATAATTGTATAGAAAATGAGGAAGGAATTATTGGAAACTGGTCTAATGCATTTCGAGGAAGGTGCTTTGGAATTTTTAAATCCGGAATTGACAGTAAATGACCAAGCAGAACTACTTCCTTACGATAAGAAATGGGAATTTCCAAGAGAAAGGTTGAAACTTGGTAATATTCGAAGATTGTATATCTGTAAACTTATTTGATAACCCACATTTACGTCATGTATGAGTATGACGCATTATTGATTAATTGATTTAATTTGATCAATTCTCATTTAACTCGTCCCAGTGGACACAAGACCTTAAAATGATGTCATACATTTGTCATACAGTGATCTACAAATTTTTTCCTAGACATGACTTAATGGTGACTTATTTATGACCTCAATATAAAGTCATTTGTTCCGACTTAAAAATGACGTCATAATTCCATTATATTCTCAGTGAACACAATTGCATCAAAATGACGTCAAAATGATTTTGCACTATGTCAGGATTTACGTAAGATATAAGTCAGATATGAGTCACATGTGACTCATGATTTCACACTTATTGATGTAAGACTTTTACGTAATAAATATGACGTTAAGCTGACCTGACGAAACAAAAGAACAGAAAAGCAATGATGTCATAAAGATGTCTAGTTGTTGCCGAATTTCTTACTAGTATATGACGTATAATTTTTTTTTTCTCCCCCGGGATTTGAGAACTCAGGAACGTACGATTACTGGATGGTGATTTGGCTCACTGAGCCATGCGAACTTGTGCTGAATTCCATTATATTACTAATACATATATAATTAACAATCTTATTAATTATAATTAATAAATAATACTAAATAATAAAATATAACATAAATTACTAATAAAAATTATAAATAATAAGTAATATAAAATAATAAAACATAACATAAATTAATAATATAAATTATAATTAACACGTTCCGTGCCACGTGTACCACCAGTGGTACAATAACCATTAGACATATTTATTTAATGCACTAAAATATATACTTATAAGGTGACTAACCGTCACCGTTTTTTTAAATATATATATATATTTTAGGGTTTGCTAGACACCTTAAAAWAATTCTCACCAAATATGAGCTCTTAATTTTAATAGAAAAATCCTCCAAATCGCAGTTTTTTATTTTTTTCTCAGTCCAATAGAATAAAATTCATACCTCATCATTAATTGATTGTACAGAAAAATGTTCTCGAAGAATTTTGTARGAAATTTAATGCTCTACAAAAATATTATCATATATTTTTTCCGTAAACCTCACCATTTGAATGATATTGAAGATTTAAGTTTGATTATTTTAAAACAAATTCATCATCAAACTTTCATGTGTACTGATATCTGTCTCTGAATATCTTTYGAACGCTTAATTTAATCGCCAAAACATAGGACACCATTTTTATACAGCAGTTAATTTCCTTCAAGAATTTGTATTGCGCATTTTATAATAGTTGTTTATTGTCGAGTTATAAAATTCATAAAAAAAAATGAAATTTGTCTTAAAATAATTAAACTTTAATCTTCAATATCATTCAAATGGTGAGGTTTACGGAAAAAATATAAGATACCTTTTTTATAGAGCATTAAATTTCCTACAAAATTATTTCCRAACAWTTTTCTGTACAATCGATTAATGACGAGGTATAAGATTTATTCTTTTAGACTGAGAAAAAAATAAAAAACTGCGATGCGAAGGATTTTCCTATTAAAATTAAGTGCTGATATTTAGTGAGAATTTTTTTAAGGTGTCTAGCAACCCATTTTTTCGTGGCACATGTAAAAAAAAAATAATTGATTTTTTAGACCCTCCCTAATGCATATAGAATACATTTTTGATTTTATTTTTTTTAACATACTTTAAATTAATAATTAGGAGGTAGCATCTAAAACAATTGCAAGAACAAAAAATTATGRTACATTGATTTTGCAAAATTTTTCCTAATATATTTATTGATAGATTGTAACGAATATATTTTAATGATCATTTAAATTAATACGTTTGTTAATAATAATTTAGGAGAACAATTGGGTAGTGGAGAATTCGGGGTTGTTATAAAAGCAGAAGCTATAGGAATTAATGCTGGTGAAAATGTAACAACGGTTGCAGTTAAAATGGTACGACGTACGACAGATCCAATTTATATTCGTGCACTAGTAAGTGAATTAAAGATTATGGWACATCTTGGTAAACATTTGAACGTCGTCAATCTTTTAGGTGCTTGCACGAAAAATATTTCAAAACGTATGTTTTATGTTATATACTTCTCATTTCTATCATCATAAAATGACTTTTAGTATATTCGATTTATTTTGTTTGGTTTTATTTGCTTTAGGTGAATTATTGGTCATCGTTGAGTACTGTCGATTTGGTAATTTACATAATTTCTTATTGAGACACAGAATAGATTTTATCAATCAAATTGATCCTTCCACTGGTAAATTTGATCCTACAATTGGTATTGATCTTCTCACGAGAACTGCCAGTATAAGCAGTAATAATAGGTTTGTTTGTATTTTCTATTTTATTTTCTTTCCTACTTTTTATAACACATATGTTTCATGTCTTGCTATATATTATATATTAATCACATCTATTCATCCTATCATATATAATATATATTATGTTATGATTATTCATTTAATGTCAAATGTGTTCGAAATGCTAGCAAGAGTATCATTTAATGTTCTAATCAAAATCACTGTAATAGTAGTTAATTTTCTAATGGATATATTAATTGTAATGTTTATTACTAAAATTTAGTAAATAATAATAATCTTTCGCTTTTTGGTTATTAATATCAACGGATAACACAATAATGTGGTGAAGAAATGTGTATGCATGCAATGGGCTGCGGTTTAACGATCCTTCCTTTATTTTCTTCTGTCCATACGATAGGATAAAATATGCGGCATTGTCTTTTACTCGCAGTACTAGTGTAAATTCCGGCACCGAGATGATTCACTATTATGTTCCTAATACAACGGACTCTCAAGGTACATGTATGTCACCTAATGGAGGTTGTACACTTAGCAATAATTCTCCACAACCTGGTTGTAGATCCAATTATCGTGGTGATTATGAGGATCATAATTTGAAACCAATTTGTACTCAAGATCTTTTGTCTTGGGCATTTCAAGTGGCTCGTGGTATGGAATATCTTAGTCAGAGAAACGTAAGTATAATTAGAATTTGAAGAGAAACATTTATATTCAAAAATAAAAATAAAATGTTGTCGTATGAATGTTAATCGTTATCCAAAATTTATATTTAATACATATTGATCTAATTAATTATATACAATTAGGTATTGCACGGTGATTTAGCTGCAAGAAACATATTACTCGCTGAAAATAACATAGTTAAAATTTGTGACTTTGGTTTGGCTAAAACAATGTACAAAGATGGTAATTACCAGAAGAAAGGTGATGGACCATTGCCCATAAAATGGATGGCGATCGAATCGATAAGAGATAGAGTGTTTTCTACGCAATCGGATATATGGTCTTTTGGAATTGTCCTTTGGGAATTCTTCACATTGGCTGAAACTCCTTATCCAGGTTTGGAAGCTGAGATACAGTATCAGAAACTGATAGAAGGTTATAGAATGGAAAAACCAGCTTATGCTACTCCAGATGTGTAAGTAAACTTAAAYACMTATATAATGTTATAATGCATTTTTATAAATTAAACAAATTATCTTTCATTTTAATTCTCACCCTCTATAGATACAAAATAATGTTGCAATGTTGGAAAGAAAAACCAACTTTGCGTCCAGGTTTCACAGAATTGGTGGAAAGCATTGGTAATTTGTTAGAGGAAAGTGTAAAAACGGTGTGTTAATTTATCATTTTAAATAATTTACAATCAATGAAATATTTACCAAAAAAGAAACTCGGTTTAATAAAATTGATTTGTTTTATTTTCATGATTTACAGCATTACATAACTCTGAACACACCTTACATGGACATGAACACGATGATTTTGGATGGTAAAAACGATTATTTAACGATGATGTCAGCACCAGATCATACAACTCTATCAGTGCCATCTGGTGATTATGTGAATTCACCTATTTCGGAAAATCCACCAGATTCGACATATTTATGTATGAGTCCAACAAATACTGGTGACGAGTCGGACATATTTAGTCCTAGACCGGATGCAGAAAAATCGCATTTTGAATTTCCTTCGGTGACGTCTGATAACGAGGATGCAATTGAATTATCACCAATGTTAAATAACGTAGATGATCCGTATTTAAAACCAATAAATGTGCACGAAAGAAGAGCAGAATTTGCACGTAAACGACAAATTGCAAATGTTAAACCGACCGAACGAATAAATAGCATAGATTCTGGTTATTGTAATGCACCACGAAATCTTAATTTGTTAGATATAAATGAAAAATTGACGATAGTAAATGAAGTTGAAAAGAATGAAAAAGAAAAGGAAAAGGGGATCAAAGAAGAAGAAAAAAATTGTCAGGATCAGACGGATTCTATTCCAAAAAAAAAAGAATACACACCGTCCATTATAAGAACTCAAGACAATTATGTGAACATGCCTAAACAGAAGAATGATTTMAAAACAAATACACCTGATTGCTTTAGCAATCCCAGTTACATCATGATGGGAAAAGAATTAAATCATACGTTGGTGTGACTTATTTTGATTSATCTYGTTGTTTGAAGAGATTTATTAAAAGTGGAACAAGTTCAAAAAGACAATCGAAACTYGTGAAGAGGTTTTTTTGAAGAAACTCGATTWTGATAATGCAAAAAGTTTTATCGTAATCGATTTGTTACTTACATCGTTTGATGAAGATTTCATCAACAAAAAATTTCYAWYGAGAATTAGGTGTTTCCAAATAAATGACTATATTTTTTGAAAAAACATTTTTAAACATAGAATTTAGGTATTAGGTTTTAGACAATCATCTCGTTTGTCATTTGTCATTAATATCTCTTTCTCGCGAATATAGTCTCTTCGTTTAAACGATAAGTACAAAAATTCGATGTTCCTCAGGTACGTCTCACGGAATTTTCTTTTCTTTTTTTGTTATTTTAATATAATTTATAAAATGATAAAATTTATATGTTTTTAAGATTTTTTATATTTACAGTAAAATCATAAAATCGGACACACTACATTATATTGTAGGATATTTTTATTTTTATTATTATAAATGTCATAATAACTGACATGATATGTCTTTCGTGATGATGGCTAGGCTGGGCRATGTAGATGTTCACAAGATGGCGGACCTTCTCGACTTAGTTGTTCTCTAATCGGTTCGCTCGGCGTGGTGATATTCTATTCGATGCTTCGTGAATCAGAAGTCGAGAACTCGAACCTTACAGAAGGCACCAAAATGTTATGGCCTAGATTCCTCAATTAAGGTAGTACCCCCCCCCCTGTGTCGGTTTAAAAAATCGATTTTTTTTTTTAAATATATATATTTCGTAAGAAAAATATTTCAAAAATATGCTCCGAAAATTTCAGACCGATATTAAATGTATTCTCAAGGTTATAACCGGTAGTATGAAGCGCGCCGTAGTGTGTATAACTCAGAAGCTCTCTATTTTGTTGCCTCCATTTACTCTCTGTTAGGTATTGTGTAGTTGATAGGCAAATTTGAAAAAAAAAATAATTGATGCGATAGTAAAATCAAGCATATGTAAAGGATGTCAGTATTTAGCAACAAAAAACCCCATCGAAGCTGAGAGTTTATCTGAAGATCACAAAAAAGAATGCACAGCAAATCACGAGGGTAGCAGTGGCAAAATGGAGGTCGACAGTGTTTTTGAAATGTTCAAGCGTTCTGAGGAGCGTTATGGTTTGAAATACGTGAAATACTTTGGTCAAACAGCCAGAAACTACGTCGACACACCGTTGATAATGCTCGTATTTTGAGAGCGAAGAAAACTACAGAAGCTAACTCTAAAGAGGCCAGAACCTACGTAGGGTTCTCAAAGCTGTTTAAAATGATAATTATGAGGAAGCTTAAGGACTACTGTATGCACCAGGCATAGCAGAATAATGTAAATATAATCTTTTTATAAAAAATCTCTTCTCAAAACCTTAAACGCGTTTTTCTCGAAATTACGTTTTTGAAATTTTGAAGAAGCACTTACTAAAAACTATAGARCCGATTGAGCTAAAATTTTTACCAGTTATTCTTGAAACATATTCTGATGCATGATACCTCAAAAATCTTTAATTTTTTTATAATAAATATATTTTTTCAAACAATTAAAGGTAAAAAAAAGCACAGATTTTGAAAAATTTTTTTCACCCGTCCGTCATTTTGCTTTTTTTTTGAAAAATTTATACATATTGTTGGTATTATATCTATAATTAAGCCTAAAGAATAATAAGTATTAGTTTTTTTGTTTCAGACGGYTACAAAAGCTCTGTGCTTCTGCAAATTAATTTGGGGATTGATATTTCAAATTAGGGGACTCCAATTTGACGTTAAAAAAAAGGAACAAATCTTGCCCAAATAAGGTTAAAAAAATTTTTTTATATTGTTTAAGATACTAATAAAAACATATTAAAATTTCAAAACGATCGCATTTTATTTTCTTATTCAAAAAAATTCATGAAAAAGCATTGAAATTTTTGTCTTCACAGGGGGGTACTACCTTAAGAGTCCTCTGGTAATTAGTTGCTGGGGATGAGGAAGAAGGGATTAGAATAAAATTAATCAAACACGTGGTTGAGCCAAACAAAGATACAATGCTTTATTGGCTCGTCAGGGAAAAGCCTTGCGGCATAAAAACCCTGGATGATATTTGATTATAACAATGCGAATCCACCACGGAGCGTTACCATGCGGGAAATTACCGCCAACGTTAAATGAATATAATGGAAAGATCTCACCTCTCGTCCGCTTCGCTTACGTTCCCTCTCACCTCTCGTAACGACTTAAACTCCCTCGACTAAACTCCTCAACTTAATTCCTTTTACTTAGCTCTTTGCTCTCTCGCTTCTACTTAGGTGTGGATTCACAGGCGTCCAGCAAAAGAATAGAACGAGAATCCTTTTAAGTTGGCCCAAAAGGGGGCGTATATTTGGGAGGTGAGAGGTGGAGATGCGTGAGGTGGTGGTGGCCAGTGATCCCATTCGTACGATAATTGTAATATAATTATAACGTAATTGAATCGATGAAACAAAAATTATCACCTCTTTTTCTTTTACTCATACAATTTTGCAAACGGGTAATCGATATCTCGAGAAGAAAGAACCACTACTGTACCCTCTGATTTTCCTGCCGTACGCCGTACCTACGACAGCTTGTTTGAACTTGAAGACTGAAAAAATGGTCATCAACTTTGGAAAATTTGGAACTTTTACTCTTTTTTCAGATTTTGAAAATCAAATCCGAAAAATTCTACAAATTTAAAATTATTCCTGTGCGTACGATAATTTTCCGGTGAGTACGATAATACTACGGCCCTGTGTCGATCAGACGAACTAAAGTCTCTGGGATCACTTTGAGTGGCTATCATTAGCGTTTCGATAGTCGCTTGGAGTTATCCGATATTCGTAATGAATATCCAACTAGAATCTTAGTCGATAAAAATCGGACGCGTGCTATTTGAATACGGTTAGTTACCGTACGATCATTTCGGATCGTACAGGAGGGAATACTACTCTTTCACCATTAATAAAAAACGGAGGGAATACTTTGATAATAATAAATAAAAGTTACATTTAGTGTAGTCAAAAGTTAAAAGGAAAACATCGAAGAAAAATAAATATGTGAAAGTAGGGAGAAATAAAAWGAAGAAGAAATTTAAAAAAAAAAAAAAAAAGGAAGAAATCAAAGTTAGAAAAAGGTGTTACCAAGAAAAAGAAAAATGTTCATTCTTATTCTAATCAGCTGTGCTCTCTTCAGTGGAGGTAATTATTTTTTACATTGACATCACACCTGAGAATACCAGGTCTATTGAAGATGTAGGCATATTTTTTTCTTTTTTAACTTGTTGTGAGTAACGTAGTAATCGAGTCACGTGGTCACCATTGAGGCACATACGGGTTTACGAATGAATTTAATTCGTGATTTCGATTATCGTCAATTCCTTGTTATTTCACATGATGTGTGACTCGATCGATCTATTATTTAGAATGATTTTGTTTTTTATTATTTTATAATAATTTTATTTTTTTATTATAATTATTTCTTTTTTGTATCGTTTTGTTTCTCATTTGATTCATATATATATACAAAGATATTCATCATCAAACTTTCATGTGTACTGATTTTTGTCCCTGAATATCTTTTGAATGCTTAATTTAATTGCCAAAACATGAGACACCATTTTTATAGAGTAGTTAATTTCCTACAAAAATTTGTATTGCGCATCTTATAATAGTGATTTATTGTCCAGTTATAAAATTCATAAACAAAAATGAAATTTGTCTAAAAATCATCAAATTTAAATCTTTAATATCATTCAAATAGTGAGGTTTACGGAAAAAAATATAAGATTCCTTTTTTGTAGAGGTTTCCTACAAAATTCGTCTAGAACATTTTTCTGTACAATCAATAAATAATGAGGTATGAATTTTAATCTATT